ACGCGTCGCGGGGGGGGGGGGGGGCTTTGGTAAAGGGGATCGGGATGGGAAACACTGCTTTCACCCCCTCCCGTTCAGGCATAGTGGGGTCACTGATATGGATGTTGTTGAGACACGCACGCATGCCCACTCACTCACACACAACCCAAGCCTTGGCACCGACCAAGGGCTTGTGGTCCAGCTCGTCTCTCTGTAAGAACCTCAGACCAAGCCAGAAGAGAGATGAGAATGGACAGCCGAGGAGGGCAAGGTGGCCCTCTCTCCCGTGCTGTTGGGTTCCTGGAAGGATGTTTTGCTTCACAGCCCAGGAGCTGCAGCCGATCTCTTCTCCTCGCCTTGGCCCGGGATGACGAGGGTGGCCATCTCTCCCGTGCCATTGGGCTCCTGGAAGGATGTTTTGCTTCACAGCCCATGAGTTGCAGCCGATCTCTTCTCCTCGCCTTGGCCCAGGATGACGGCAGAGGTAGCAAGTCTGGAGGGGGAAAAAAAGGGCAGAGGTTGTTACGTTACATCATCCGCCCATCCATCCACCCGTTGCATTCCGTCCCTACTTACAAGGCGTCAATAGTGAGATCCAGAAAGGCATGAAGCCTCAACTATCCAGAGAAAAAGAACCCTGGAGGGCAAATCAAAGCGACAGTCCCTTCATGGCCTCGTGAGGGTGTCACAGGGGTCTGAGAGAGGAAGTGAGAGACCATTTCCCAGGTACTTACAAGGCGTAAATAGTGAGATCGAGAAAGGCAAGAAGCCTCAACTATCCAGAGAAAAGGAATCCTGGAGGGCAAATCAAAGCGACAGCCCCTTCATGGCCTCCTGAGGGTGTCACAGGGGTTTGAGAGAGGAAGTGAGAGACCATTTCCCAGGCAGTAGATGCTGACCTGGAGACAAGAGCCTCTTGTCCACACAGAGGATCCGTTTGGTCCCCACTTCCTAAGCATACGGTCCTTGCTTCCCATTGTTTTTGGAAGCCTCTGCTTACAAGAAGGTGTCTGTGGATCGTTCCTCTGAGAGAGAGGGTGGGCTGGGAGGCAGCTTGCGGCAAGGAAGACGGGCGGATGGGAAGAGCTTCCGATAAATGGCGCTTTCAGTGAGGGGGCAGGGCCTGCCGGACCAGCTTTGCAAGGCCGTCTGGAGGTCTGTGGGGCCTGCCATGCTGTGGTGGTGGGTGTGCGGGTGTGCGCATGGGCTGTTTCTGATGCCCAGGACCCACATCTGTGTTTGTGTGCATAGAACGTTGTGTCCCGGTGATTTTGACCTTGTGCCCAGGGCCTCAAACTTGACATTGAAAAAGAAGCATCCTCCAAAGCAGCTGAAGGCAGCGCTTAACGAGCAAGCGCTTACAGATCCTTACTCCATGACTGAAGCCACGACAGGGGGCCAGTCGCCTTCCCAGCTCAGCGGTCAAGGCCATTGCCCAGCAGCTCCTCTCCGTCTCGGGCCATTCCCTGATGGCCGCTCCAGGGCAGGCGTCTGCTCAGCATATCCATATGATTGTAGGGTAGGCACTCCGTTGGATAGTGCTGATCGCCCCAGCTCAGATCAGCAGCCCAGTAGAAATCCGGGCAAATATGTTCATGACCAAGGGCATATGTGCTCCTTTAAAGTAAAATCACACTCCTAGGGGGGAAAAAAATTGAAACAATTCACCTTGTATGCTTTCTTTTCTTTTGCTTTGTTTTAATTTTATGGCTAACGATGTCTGAGAAAGTTTACCTCACCAATGATAATCCAGGGTGCAGGAGCACATTCAGCAGCACGCTGGCAGCCACGGGTCGCCCTGGGTGGGCCAGTGCTGTTCTTCCAACATATGAAGCCCCTGGTGTTTCATGTCCTTACCTGGCAATGCCAGGGACTGAATCCAGGGACGTTTGGGGCACAAAGTAGAGGCTCCTCCACTAGGCGACAGGCTTCCTTATTCGTGCCTCCACCTAGATGTGTTCCTGTCTACGACGGACCTCTTTTAAGGAACAGCTGTGGCGAAGGCGGCCTTTTGCACGAGGCCCACAATCCTGCAAGCAGCTAGCGGTAGGGTTGGGTCATCGGTTGAGGGTGTGGCTCGTTGGGTCACATCCTGTCAGTGGCCCCGTTTTGCAGCAGTGTGTAAATCTGGAAGTGGAGGCACCCGTCATGGCAGCCCTCCAGAACCACCCCCATCAAATGCTCCATGGGGGCCAAATGAAAAGCAGGGTTGTGTTTGTTAGAAACGGTTGAAATCCTGTTGCTTAGTGTAGTAAGTTTCACTAGAGTATGCTCACTGAACCAGTGGGGATCTGTCAGGTCAACTCTTCGATAGGTTCCATGGATTCAAGGGGCCTACTCTAGTTGCTGCTTTCTACAGTCAGCAACAGAATTTCAGCCCGTCATTCTTAATGGCCCATCCAAGACCTCACATATCTTGCCTTAGGACACAGATGGCTTGGAGCAGTGGGGGCTGGGGCTTCTGGGAGTTGCAGTCCAGGAACATCAGGGTGAGCCAAGGTCGGGAACCACTGGCTTAGAGCCGCCCTCTCTTCCTGCAAAATCCCTTTGTCTCCTCCCTCCGGTGAGGAGTACAGCAGAAGCTTAGTTGGGTGGCTGGAGATGCCATCATCCCTGCCACTCAGAAAGACTTAGGGCTTTGTTAACTGGTGCGGCTTGACTCCAAGACACCACTGGGTGTTCACTAAGCTTCCAAACAATTGCCATGGGACCAGACAACCAGGAATCAGTGGAGGTTCTCAACAGTCCAGCCCATGGTGCACACACACAGCAGGCCCTGTTGCGCACGCATGTGCACAACACACACACATACCCCACATTCCTTGCAATGCTGGGGCTGGAATTTGATTCATTTTTCCTCTCCTCTTGAAACTTTCACTCAGTTGATCCTTCCGAATCACCAGGACCAAGAGCATGAAAATAACGAAAACCTGGACAGCACCAACTGTGGCTGAACCAAATGCCTTTGCTTTGCAAATATGCATGGTTCTCCCACCAATCTCCTCATGGAGAATCACTTGGCACCTTTTCTTCTGAGGAAGGGTTCAGTGGAAAGAGCACACTTTTCTAGACTAAAACTATTAGATGGTGGGCTGGGGGGGGGACCCACATCTCCCTTCGGCAACTTTTCTAGGGCATTCCCAGCCCGGCGTGGCTCACTCATTTTCCCTTACCTCCCTTCCTCATCTTCTGCCTTCCCTCCTCCCTCTGCTTACTCACACGAAGACCTCCCACTGCTTCAGCCTGCCCTGTGTGAGTCAGTGCCTCCGGGACATCAGGCAATTAGCCGGCTTCTCACAGGCAGGCGGCCTTTTAAAAGCTCCATTATGAGGCTACATGGCTTCATCATTTATTAATGTTTCATTAGTGTTGAAAACATCTGGTAATTAATTATGCACTAATTATAGATTCATGGCCCTAAAAGTCTGAGTGATTTGTAATGGCTGAAGGCTCTCCAGGGAGGAAGACGCATCGCTTTTTGCTAATGGGAGGGCTTTGGGAGCCATGCCGGTCCCTCGGCATGGAGAAGGAGGACAGGGGTGGGCAACGTGGCCTCCGATGGTCGGGGAAGTGGAGGGAGAGAGAGAAGAAGCACCAGCCCCCCCCCCCGACCGCTTGCAGGCTGAG